CCTCCTCCTCCTCCTCCTCCTCCTCCTCCTCCTTCCCCAGGCCGCACCCGGCAGAGCCGAGAGGGCCGAGCGGCGGCGCGAACGCGCCGACTTCTCGGGCATGCGGCGAACCGGCTGGCCGCGGGGCGAGGCGCTCTCACTGCGGCGTGCCCCCACCCCACCCATCAGACAGTCCACATCGGGCGACGGGATGTTTGAAACAGAAGTGCGAGGCGGGAATTTATCCAGATCCACCGCCTGGGAACCGACGTCCTGGTGCCCCAGCAAGCGGCGGATATGGATATATTTTGGCCCCTCGGGGCCCGAATATGTCCATATCCAACGCCTGCCGAGGTCCCTGAAAATTGATCCTCCGGGCGGTGGTCATGTCTGAAGTCCCCCCCTCGCAAGACGACGGAAACGTAGAGGAACGGGGGGCGGCCGCAGCAGCTCCCGAGAAGCCCGTGCGCCCTCGTGGCGACGCGCGGCAGGCCTGACCGGCGGCTTGTGTGGACAGCAGCAGCCCAGACGACAAGACAAGCACCCGGAACCCGGGCGACGAGATCTGCGCACACCCACACGAGCACCCCCCAGGGGGCCCCCTACCCCTGGCGTGGCCAGGGAGGCGCACACGCCGGGCCACCCCTGGCGCGGCCAGGGAGGCGCACACGCCGAGCACGAGCACGGGCACGGGGTGGGCCCGGCCAGGGGCGGTGGCCTCGCGCAGGTCCCGGCGACCGACTGCAGCGGCCGCGCTGTGGCCTCGCGCTGCCCGGGAGCCACTGGAGCTGTTGGCTGAGCACGGCGCGCGCTCACGCTCACGAGGAGGAGGAGGAGGAGGAGGAGGAGGAGGAGTGAAGAGGAAAGAGGGAGGAGGGAGGAGGGAGGAGGGAGGAGGGAGGAGGGAGGAGGGAGAAAGGAGGAGGAGGAGGAGGAGGAGGAGAGCAGGAGTGGAGGAAGGGAGGAAGAGCAGGAGGAGAAGAGGAGGCCCAGAACGTCAGCCCTGTGATAAAGTAAAGGGAAGGCAACGGCGGGAAGGGTCCGCTGGCGGACGCCTTGCTATTCTCCTCCGCGTCGAACTCCGTCGCTTTACCAGCCGCCATTGCCATGTAAAGAGGGTGCCCTTGTTACGACCATCAGTCCAGCCCAGCCCTCACCCTCGCCCCGTCCTCCCCGGTCCCCCACGACAGGGGAGGGGGCGAGAAGGGGGGAGAGGGGGAATGGGCTGGTGGCCGAAACGGGGGGTCCCCAATAGAATCCGACACCGTGCCCCGAGGCACTGAGTGGAGGGCCATCAGGTCCCTTCGGTTTCTCTGTGCGCTCCGAGGCGCTCGTGGGGCGTCCCGCGCGATGTATCCCGAGGCCGTGGCAGCGTAGCCGCGGGTCTCAACCTCCAACATGCTCTGAGATGGTCCCAAGAGAACGTCCTGGCATTCTGACAGGTAGGGTCGTTGACCCTCTTGCAAGGCCCTGGGGGGGGGGGGGGGCGACCCAAGACGCCGACAGCGTGTCCAAACCACATGGCTGTGCCAGGGCGCTCGCACCTGCGCGCCCCTTCGGTCTCACGGCCGTCCAGAGCGGCACAAAGAGGCCCCGGGAGGAGCCCCCCACGCGAGCCCCAAGAGGCCCCGAGGTGCCCCCGGCAGAATCCCGGGAGACCCCCGGGAGGCCCCGAAGGCGCCCCCGAGAGGGCGCCAAGGAAGCCCCCAAGGTGTGGGGGGGGGGGGGACTCGAACCGCCACTCGGAGCCCCCCCTTCCAAGAGGGGCCCCCGAGGCAGCCGACGAGCCCTCACGGCGCCCCAAAGAGGCCCCCAGAGGCCCCCGAGAGGCCTTCAGGAGGCTCGGTAGACGCCCCCGATAGACTCCCGAGAGGCCCAAGAGAAACAAGATGCCCCCAAGAGGTCCCTCAACAGGCCCCAAAAGCACACAAGAGGCCCGCTCCACGAACTAGGCACAATGGCGGGATGGGCCGAAGGCCATTAGACCTGCTGCTCCCAGTATGCGCGCAGAGGGGTGCTTGGCGTGCCAGACTTGAAAGGCGTTGTTGGCGTTTCCGGTGAGTTCCCGATGAGGTCTCGGCGCATTCCACCAGCCGCTCGAAAAACCCAGAACCAAGAAAGCTCGCCTCCAAGATTGACAAGATGCTCAAAGTTGGCCCAAGACGATCCAAGATGGCATCCAAGACGGCCAAAGTCTCCAAGAGGTCCCCAATGTCGCCTAGAGGCCCTCGAGGAAACGACAAGACCCAAATCATTTGAGCTTCGCGTACTCGCCGTCTCGGGCTTCCGACAACCGAAGACGGCCCCAGGGACCTCCACGATCGCCCCACGACGGCACAAGAAGCCTCCAAGACAGCCCCAGGAGGACCTCAACACAGCCTAACAAAGCTCCAAGAGGACCCTGCAGCACCCAACAAGGCCACCGAGACGGCCCAGAGAGGCATCAAAGACTGCCTCCGAAGTCATCCGACGAACCAAGAGAGCCCCGAGACGGCCCAAGAGGCCCTCAGAGGTCCCCAAGAGGCTCCTCACGGGCATCTAAAATGCCTCCGCCTCGTCATCATCCTCGTGCTCCTCTTCGCCTCCTCATCCTCCTCCTCCTCCTCCTCCTCCTCCTCCTCCTCCTCCTCCTCCTCCTCCTCCTCCTCCTCCTCCCCTGTCTTCCTCCCCAAAAAAGTTTCACCGAGCGTTTCCACGACGGCTGGGGGAACACATGCTCCAATACCTTGGACAGACGTTGGCCCAACGTCTGGCCACACAGGCGCGTCTCAAAGGGCAGGGGGCGGCGGTGGTTCGCTGTACACGTCTTCGATCCGCCGACACCTTTGACTTGCAAGGCGGTGCTTGTAGTGTCGAGGTGCAGTACGCTGTGGCCATCCAAGAAGTTTCCAGAGGGGTCTCGGACCATGCCGCCGGCCACCCGGAAAAACAAATCAGTACACAGCAAGCCACCCAGAATACACTCGATGCGCCTCCAAGACGGCTAAGATGACCCAAGACGGCCTCCAAGACGGCCCCTACACGCATCCAAGACGGCCAAGATGGCCCCAAGATCGCCTCAAGATGCCTCCAAGGCGGCCTAAGATGAACTCCAGACGGCCCAAGAGGTGCCCAAGTCGCTTCAAAAAGGCTCCAAGAGGACCTACTGGAGGCCCGAAGAAACCAAGCACATTGATGTCCCGATGTCTTGCAAAGCGAAGCCTCATCTGTGGCGCACGGCGACCCAGACACTGAACAGATGCTTCTGCAAAATATTCAGAATGGCGTTCGTTTATATCCAAGCAGTTTGCCATGCAGCGTCGTGGTTTTCTGATCGCCACGCCCTTCCCCGTCCTCCTCCCTCCCTTCTCCCCCAGCCCTCACCGGCCTCCCAGTCAACCCTCTCTCTGCCATGTTGCGCAGCTATCTTTCGCACCTCGTTATGGCTTCCAGCATGCGGGCACGCATGCGACCCGAATGTTCAATGTTCTGCCAATGCGCCTTCAGGGTGCGGCGCGACTACTCGCAGCTCAAGACGGCCCCGTAGGCCTCCAAGACGACCTCCAGACAGCCCAACAGGCCCCCAAGAGGGCCCCAAGACCGGCCAGTGAGGCCCCTCCACGGGCCAAGACGGCCCCAAGGGGGCCCCGAGACGGCCGCCACTCGCCCAAAGAGAGCCCCTAAGACGGCCCAGAGGCCTCGGAGCCCGCACTCGCAGGCACCCGAGGAGCCCCCCGGGAAGGCCGCAGGAGCTCCCCACCTGGGATTTGGGCGCCGTTGCTAGGCCCCGAGGGGCGATGTCTTGCCCCCTATTCCCCCCTCCTCCTCCTCCTCCTCCTCCTCCTCCTCCTCCTCCTCCTCCTCCTCCTCCACCACCTCCACCTCCTCCTCCTCCTCCCCCCTCCGTTTTGTGCAAGAGGGCCCCAAGACGGCCCTAAAGCGTCCCAAGAGAGCCCCAGCACGGCCGAGAGGGGCCCCCAGAGGCGACCGCCGAAGGGCCTCCGAGGGGCCGGAGCGCCCCAGACAGCCCGAGCGGCCCCCGAGAGGCCCCTAAGAGGCCGCTCAGAGGCCGGCGAGAGGCCCACAGGAGGCCCCGAAGAGACCCTGGGAGGCCTCCTCATCCTCCTCCTCCTCCTCCTCCTCCTCCTCCTCCTCCTCCTCCTCCTCCTCGATCTCCTCCTCCTCCTCCTCCTCCTCCGCCTCCTCCTCCTCCTCCTCCTCCTCCTCCTCGATCCTCCTCCTCCTCCCTCCTCCTCCTCCTCCTCCTCCTCCTCCTCCTCCTCCTTCTCCTCGATCCTTCCTCCTCCTCGATCTCCTCCTCCTCGATCTCCTCCTCCCTCCTCCTCCTCCTCCTCCTCCTCCTCCTCCCTCCTCCTCGATCTCCTCCTCGATCTCCTCCTCCTCCTCCTCCTCCTCCTCCTCCCTCCTCGATCTCCTCCTCCTCCTCCTCCTCCTCCTCCTCCTCCTCCTCCTCCTCCTCCTCTCCTCCTCCTCCTCCTCCTCCTCCTCCTCCTCCTCCTCCTCCCCCCTCCTCCTCCTCCTCCTCCCTCCTCCTCCTCCTCCTCCTCCTCCTCCTCCTCCTCCTCCTCCTCCTCCTCCTCCTCCTCCTCATTCCCATCCTTCCAACCCTTTTCTTTGCAGAGATGATCGTGTCCAAAATGACAGGGAGCGGCGGCGACTCGCAGAGGACGTCTTAGATATAGGCACCCCTACATGTACTGCCAAGGGTATCTAGTCAAGTGTCGCCGCGCGAAGCGGCCTTGATGGCGGGTGCGGCGGCGCGCTTCGGAAAGATCGGAGCGAGCGTCGGTCAGAATGGGAACAGCAGATGACCGCATGCTCGTCCCCTCGCTGGACGGGGAAGCCCCCCTCCATCCGCGCGCAGTCCCTGGAACGGCAAGCTCGCGTCGCGACGACCCTGGCGCTGGCTTCTGACACCGCGTGGATCTTCCAGCTTGCAGCGATTGGCCGGTTCCGAGCCGCCGGTGGCTTCACCTCTGAACGCCCGCGGCGAAATCGCAGCCGCGTCCGCACGACACGAGCCCACCGTGCCCTCTCGGATGTCCCTCTGGGTCCCCCATTCGACTGCGACCGGGTGGAGGAGCGCCAGCTCCAGCAGGCACCATACCATGGAGGGAGAAGGAGATGGAGCAGCAGAAGAAGCAGGAGGAGCAGGAGAAGCGGGAGGAGGAGGAGAAGGACGGATGAGGCGAGAGGCGAGGGAACGCAAGAAGACGAGGAGGAGCAGGAGGAAGACGGGTGAAGGGGCATCTGGGAAAGATGATGGTACAGACATGGGAGACATCTCGCGTGGAAGTGGACCATCGGCATGCACTGCTGGGAAATGTCGCACACATGCGCTGGGCGGGAATAAGTCATACCACTATGAATGGGCATTTCACCGAGCGCGCAGCGGTGTGCGAAGCCCAATGGAACAGCTAGGCTGCGATTTGCCAACTTTACCAGCGAGAAGACGGCATGGTCCTGGACGCGCTCCAATAAGGGCCATTGCCAGCTGCTGGGGACGGCGATACGATGATGCGTGCGACGGTGGTGATCAGTGGGGTTCCGGACACGCACCGATTTGCAGGGCGTCAAATCTTCGAGGGCCAGATGAAGGTCTGCGAGGCGATGGCTGACACTGGCCTAAGGAGGAGAAGGAGGAGGAGGAGGAGGAGGAGGAGGATCAGGAGGAGGAGGATCAGCAGGAGGAGGAGGAGGAGGTGGCCTCGACGCACGAGAAAGAATGAGAAGCATCAGCAGGAGCCACAGATATCCGACGGCTGCGCATTGTTCATCGCCCCGGCATAGCGTATAGCGACGTTAAGGGGCCCGTTTGGGTATGTTCCTGGGCCAGGTCCCCTGCCTTTCTATGGTATAGAGCTGCGCGCTGGAACCTGACAACTCTTATCTTCTGGTCGTCGGTGCAACTTTGGAGGTGTCGGCCCGTCGCCCATGGCGGCCAGCTAATCCCAAACAGACACTGCAGATTGAAAAAGAAAGCGTCAGGCCCGCGGGGGGGTTCGAAAGGCGACGCGTGGAACAAAATCAACCCGGCAGACCATTTCACATCGCGGGTATCAGTGCTCGACAGGCGGCGGGGGGCCCAACTGGACCACCCCCCTAGGACTCGGGAACCGAGGCGCAATCTTTCAACCCCTCCTGAAGTGGCGCGCCGCTGGGCTCAAAGGAAACATCATGCTGCACGTGGCCCCCCCCGCGATGTACAGGTCGAAGCCTGCAGGGACTGTTTGCGCCTTAAGCCAAGGCATCTCGGAA